TCATCAGATAGTTGATAAGGTATGCCTGTATTTCAGTATGCAAGCTGCAGAAATATGTGCACTCTGAAATTGCAGTTAGTTGGATCCTTGACTCAGAATAGTCCTCCCTAGAGGATGTCAACTGATAGATTAACTTTCTGAAGGGATTTGTCTAGTTGAAAACAACCAGGAAAAAAATTTAAATCACCTATTGTATTGGTGTCTAAACAAACAGATGTGGAAGTGTGGAATGGTGAACTCAGCATTTGAGTCAGGTGATATGCTCATCAAAGAAAGAAAGGTGTTCCTAAACACACTGTGGACTTGGAGTGTTTGTGACTGGAGGTAAGCAGCCGGTCTGCATTCTCATTTGTCAGGGAAGGATGTGTGTGGTACAGGACTTTCCATTTTAAAGGGCATAGATAAATGGGGTGTGTCTAAGTGAGAGGGTATAAAACCATGTTGTTATATAGCTCAGAGAAGAGGATACTTAGATCTAAAACTGTTTTAAGTATTTTTGTCACAGGAACAAGGCATTGGATCTATTTTCTGACCTTTGGAGTGTTGAGTGGGGGGAAGTGGGAGAAATTTTAGGAATGATTTTGATTCAGTAAAATTTGTAAACTTTAATTAAACTTCAGAGATGTCTAAAACAACTTGTCCTGACAGTGGGGATTTTTATACTAGGTGATTAAACAAATGGTTCTGAACTTTTAGTCCTCTGAACCACTGTTGTAGATTGGTGAAGGTAGTGTGGGGATGAGACATTTGAGCATTATCATGCAGTGTTTGATGCAGCGAAAGTTTATACAGTTGACTAACGCAGGGAGTCGGGGGCACTGATGCCCCTCATGGTCAAAAATCCATGTATAACTTTTGATTCCCCAAAACCTTAACTACTAATAGTCTACTGTGGACTGGAAGCCTTACCAATAATATAAACAGTCGATTAACACATTTTGTATGCCATATGTATTACATATTGTATTCTTACAATAAAAGTTAGCTAGAGAGAAAATTTTAATAAGAAAATCTTAAGGAAGAGAAAATATGTTGACAATACCGTACTGTATTTAACAACAACAACAAAAAAATACTGTATTTAACCAAAAAAACAATCCAGGACTTACATACTACAAAATCTTACCTACATACAAATAAATGTATGTAGTACATTATAACTATGTACTACAACATAGTTAGTAGTATGTAGTGGACTCTTGTAGTACAAACTCTGTTGTTCAAGGGTCAGCTGTATAAAATATATTAATTATGAAGCACTTCTATGTTTCATAAATGAACACCTGTAAATCCACCACTTAAAAAGGAACTAGAGCACTACCCATATCCATGACATGTTTCTGTAATATTTTGGCCACGATTAGATCAACTTGATGGTATAACGTTAACAAAAACCTCTGATTGCCAGGACTTACATACTACAAGCTTTGGAGACAAAACTTTTTAAAATGTGGGGTTAGGGGACAAAATAATAAATGGGGTCCTTGCATACTAAGGTTGGAAAGCAGTGGATTTAGTTGAGTCATTCAGTAAGCAAACCTCTAATTACATGAGGTAAAGTTGCAGAGAGGTTAAGTAAGAGACTTATCTAAAATCACACAGTTACTGTTAGAACTGGAATCAGAACTTTTTTTTAAGATTTATTTTTTATATAGTCTTTATACCCAACGTGAGGCTTGAACTTAAAACCCCAAGATCGAGTTGCACGTTCTATCAGCTGAGCCAGCCAGGTGCCCCAGAACTTGTTTTGACTTGAGTATTGTAAATAACATAGCAAAAAGTGCTAGTGTGATTTCCTGGTTAGAAAGGTGCTGTTAATACAGGTAGTACTGAGCTGGTTAGACCCCCACAATGAGTAAGATTATAAGATCTTTGAGCACTAGGACTTGGTCATCTTTTCATTCCTATCAGTACAGTGTTGCTTATGATTTGTATTATTGAGTGATGTATCTGAGACTAAAAGAAACATGGTAGAAAGACTTTTTATCTTAAGAAAAGTATAATTTATAATTACATTGTTTGTACCTTTGCCTCACATACTGTCATTAGAAAAGTCAAGAGTTTCTTTCCTCTTGACTTCTTTCTTGACCGTAACAACCTGTGGCAGATTTGATGGTCCTGCTTTGTGCTACCACCATCTCTAATCTATGCCTCTTACTGTTTTTTCTACTTTAGATATCTGTTTATATATATCCCATATGAGACTAACTTCTTTGAAAGCTCGAAACCATGACTTGTTTAACTTTAATGCCTTAGAACCTAGTTCATTTACCCACCCGTCTGCCCAGTCCACTGAGTATTAACAGAGGGCCCACTGTATTCAAGGCACTATTCTAGGAGTTGGGGCTATAGTGGTTAGCAGAATCTCACAGAACTTTCAGTTATTAATCAGAGAATCACATTAATATTTATAGAAATACAAATACATTTAAATGGTAAATGTATCTTCTATTTTATCATCTAAGTGGATATGTGAAGGTCATTGATTATTGTAATATTTATGTATTTTTTAATTTAGTCATCTGAAGTTTCTTACAGTGCTCTTGGTTTTTCTAAGTTTGATAAACTTGTTTACCTGGAAATATGTTGTTTTCTTTTTTATTTTGTATTACTCTGGTTATAGATTTTTTAATACTGAACTCTTGCATTCATGGTATAAATTCCACTGCCTTAGTGCATTATTCATTTGGCATGCTGGTGGAGCCTATTTATTAAGTATGTTTGCATTTATATTTATAAGCAAATTTTATCTATTGTTTTCCTTTATGCTATTATCAGGATTTTTATATCAGCATTATTAACAAGAATTAGGCAGTTTCTAAAGAGGAAATTTAAATGTAATAAATTAATATTGAAAGCGCTTTTATGTAGAGACCTGGACTAAAGGATATATGCATAATTTTAATTAAATTTCCCTAATGTCCTTTGGTTAATTACTTGCTGTAATTATGTAATTATGTAAGCAGTTATTTATGTTTAAATTATTATTTGGTGGTTGAAAACTTGATTGGAGAATTGCTGTCGCATGCTAATATAAAATAAACACTAGTTTGATACTGGGCCTGTTTTAATACTACTATTAGTATTTAATAAGTATTATTAAAGTAGTATTAAAAAGTAGTAGTATTAAAAGAAGTAGTATTAAAGATTTAAGTAGTATTAAAGTAGTATTAAAAAGAACTTAAGGAATGAAGTCTTGCCTTTATAATGTAGTTAAATCCAAGGTACCTTCTTTTGATTTTTTAAAAATTTCATTTGCTGTTCAGAGATGCACATTTGGTAAGCTTTGACAAGGAAATTGTTATTTAAGAGAGAAGATGTGTTATAAAATGAATGTTGCCATCGTTGAAGCAGAAAATGTATTGTAATACAGTATTTTCACTGATTTAAGACTAACTGGGTAAGAACACCTTTGATCATGGCTTTTTGCTGTGTTGGGTTTTATTTAGCAAAGTGATATAAATAACTAGTTAAGAAAATTGAAGTGTGCATTTATATTTCATAGTTCCTTATAGGAGTAGATTGAAATTCCATGTTTGGAAGGCAGTCAAAATACATTATAAAAATAAAAGGCATTTTCCTTTTAAATACTAATGGACACAGCCTCTTCCCCAAGAAGGATGTAATCTGTAGCATGGAGAGACAGATATAGAGGCATCCAGCTAATTTAGTAATGACAACCCTTATTAGACAGTATGTTCTAATGGGCAGGGGTCTATCCTCTAACACATTGTGGAAACTTTAATAAGAATTCTTGAAAGAATTGATTCCCCCTTTGTGCAAGTCTTGATTCATTGGATTTCTTATATTTTTTCTTATAAGAAGTATATTTATATACCTGGGAACTGTCCTAATAATTTTTTAAAGGTCATTGACTTTAGGTACCTACTTTTCTTAAATTTCCTTCGTTAACCTGATGTAGTTTGATCTCTGTAAACCATCTTTTCCTTGAAACTTCTCTGATCACCAGTGGCTTAGTGGTTAAATCCAAGGTACCCTCTTTTGCTCCTTACCTCACCATACTTTTGTGGTGTTTGACACTGTTGATTACCCTGTTCTTGGTTCTGTCATTCTTCAGCTTCTGTGACACCTCTCTTTCCTACTTCTGCTATCCACCTTCATTTCTTTGTGGTTTGGATCTTCTTTGCTTTATTCCTTAAATGTTGCTTTTTCTAGGATTCATTCAGTCCTCCTTTCTCCCTCTGTCTTCTCTAAGACATCTTTTCTGTTCCTGTAGCTTTGACTAACATACTTGTGTATCAAACTCAGACTTCTGCTGAACTTAAAATCTGTGTTATCCATTGGACATCTATTTGAATATTTCAGAGACACCTAAAATAGCTAAGGAAGTAATCCAGTTCAAAATCTCATTCAGACAGATGAGTTCTGAAGTATAAGAGAGCCATTGTTATTAGTTTTGTCTGATAGGCATTCTTATTTGATTAAAGCTCTTGTTTGGAATGACTGGCCTCATTTAAGCATGGAGAAATTAAGTAAAATAACAGATATATCAAATAGAGTAAGAGTTTGGGCTCTGCAGTTAATTTAAATAAACTATAGGAGCGCCTGGGTGATGGAGTCAGTTAAACGTCCAACTCTTGGTTTCAGGTCAGGTCATGATCTCAGGGTTTTGAGATCGAACCCCTAGTTGGGCTCCATGCTCAGCGCGGAAGCTGCTTGGGACTCTCTCCCCCTCTTCTGCCCTCCCTTCCCCTGGTCCTCCAGTGTACTCGCTCACTCTCTAAAAAAAAAATAAATAAATCTTTAAAAAAAAAATATATTGGTTAATATAAATTTGATTTCTTTAGAAAATAATTAAGGCTATAGTCCTGTTCAACATAGACTTATTCTAGGGAATGGTAGACTAGGTTAATAATGCTTTACTCTTTGAGTTTTAACACTTTACCAATGAAACCCTCCCCTACCTTCTGTTTTTTTCCCCCCTCGACTAGCAAGAATATTTTTTTGTCTAACACATTTAAAATTTTTACTTTTAACAGAAATTAGCAGAGTACGGAAAGACATGTACAATGACACATTAAATGGCAGTACAGAGAAAAGGAGTGCAGAATTGCCTGATGCTGTGGGACCTATTGTTCAGTTACAAGAGAAACTCTATGTGCCTGTAAAAGAATATCCAGATGTAAGTATGTTTTGTTGTCTTATTCAATTTTTTTTCTGCTTCACATACTTTGGGAAGGGATATCTCGTGATAAATACTTAAGCATTGTCAGCTGTTTTTAAAAAATGTCGTGTGAGGGACTAGAAGTATGATTAACTTGGTGTGGGCAGTTAAAAAAAATTTTTAGATATGTTTTCATTTAATTTCTGCTTTGTCACTTTTGGAAATGCACATGGTAAAGACTTGGTTTTAGCTTTGGCCTGAGTGTCGCAGAGAGCACCAGATACAATTCTCTACTCATCTTTAATCTGACCTCAGGGAAGCCAGAGCCTGGGCCATGTCATCCTTACAGTAAAATGAGAAGTTGGACTAGGTGACAGCTAAGCTTCCTTTCAGCTCCAAAATTTTTACGATAACCACTGTTCATAATGTTTTTCTTATGTTTTGTCTTTTTCATTCTTGTTTCTTGCTCAGCTGTTCTCCATAAACATCTTGTTGCAAGTAGCCTCCTTGTCCTATACCACTTAATTTATAATTAGCTCTAGACTCTTTGTGTTTGTTATAAAGCACTATGTCATATGGTTCTTTCTATCTCTCTGACCTCATCTTAAGTGATTTTCCCTCTTCCTCAATACCCTGTAGTCACATTGGCTGTTAGAACAAGTCAGGTCTATTCCAGCCTAAGAATATTTATGTTAGCTGTACACTGGCTGGCTTCTTTTTGTGGTTAAGATTTTGGCTCAAATGTTACTCGGAGAAGCCTCCCCTCACTATTTTATCTAAAGCAATCTAGTTACTCATTGTTTCACATAATTTTCTTTATTTTTCTGAGGAGCACTTGCTATTTGGTGTGTTTTAATTTATTTTTCTATTTCTTTCCATCAGAATATAAGGTACTTAACAAAAGAACCTTTTTTGTGGTTATTTACCATGTACTTCCAATATGCATAATATTTGTACATAATTGGCTCCAGTGCCTTTTGGATACGTAAAAGCAAACTGTTGGTATTTTGGTAGGTTTCAGAGAACTATTCTAAAAGCAAAAACTATTCTGCAAGAAGGAGTTGGTATTGTAAGGTCAAAATGTGATGTATACTCTAAGATTCATTGATTATATGGACAGTCTACTTGTCTAAAGATGGAAAATAAATGTTTTAAGTTGGATTAATGGAAAAAAGCTTTGACATTTCACAAGTTGCATTTCTAATACAATTTTCTTTAAGGCTAATACATTTACTTTGTAAGTATTTTTGGTTGCACGTATGTAAACAGTTCTGGATAATGTAGGCAAAGAGTTTGTTGGAAAGTAATTGGGTATCAGAGGATTAAAGGAAATGGCTGGATTGCAAAGCCTCCTGTAAGAGAAGGGCCAGGGCAGCTTTGAGAACCTCAGCAACAGGAATTCAGACTTTATCTTTGAGACCCTTGGTTTTGACATGGTCTGGTTTCAGTGCCTCCCAGACTTTATCTTCGAACTTCAGATTCTTAGGAGAGAAAATGTGTTTTGGACCAGTCTGCCACGACTAAAGGTGGGAGGTTAACTAATATAACCTAGACGTGATTACTCTGGTCCCACCCTCGATGATTGGAATGATTCCTAGAGATGGGAAATTACGATTTGGCAGCTATCCCAGTTGGTGTTTACTGCTGTTTGGTGTTTCAGTATCTCCTAAAGGATATCAGCCTTCTCCTATGCTCGTTTAATCTCTAAGGATAAAGTTTCAGCACTAGTCATGAACACAGAATATGTAAGATCATAGGACCTTGTTAGAGAACATAGCTTCATCTGCCTGGTCCCCATTCTTCTGGACAAAATCCTATTCAGGGAAGGTGATACTTACATTGCATTATTTAAAAGATATGTTTGATATAATCCTCTAAGTGAGAAGAGATATATTTCATAGTGTGGGTCCGGTAGGAGGTAACTTTGCACTCTATTCCTGTCTTTCTTCCACCAGTTGGGATTCATTGCCATGGTCAGCTCCTGTTGCTGACAACTGTTTTGCGGTGTAACATTGTCTAGGTCAGTGGATCTCAGAATGTGGTCACAGGACTGTAGTATCCATGCCTTCTGGGAACTTGTAAATGTTCAAGCCCTACCCCAGAGTAGCTAAATCAGAAACTAGGGCTGAGGCCTAGCAATCTGCCATCCAAGCCCTGTCGGTGATTCTGATGCATGTTAAAGTTTGAGGAGCACTGCTCTTATTTGTTGATCGTCAGAATGAGCGGGCTAATGGGGTTGTTTTGCCAAGCATTGTTCCAGGAGACAGAGTGGTGAATTAAACAATGCCTCTGCTCTTGTGGAGCAGATGTTGCAGTGTCAGAGATGGACAATAAACAAATGAGTATTTACTTTTAAGTGTAGTCAGTGCTATGGAAAAAATAAGGTGTGCTAAACATGTAAATGATGACTGTGTATTAATAGTAAAAGTATCTCTTATAAGATGGAGGGAATGCAGAGACATGACTGAAGTGATGGGGAGGAAGGCATGAAAATTATCTGGGGGGAGAACATTCCAGGCAGAGTGAACAGCATGTGCAGTGCCTAAGGCATGAGTGTGCTTGGGAAGTGTGGTAAGATGCAAGATTAGAGAGTTAGCAGAGGGACCATATCACGTAGGGACTGTGAGCACCAGTAGGGACGTCAGATACTATTCTGAGTGAAGTAGGAAGCCATTGAGATGTTTTGAGCCAAGGAGTGGTTTTTAATAGATTCATTCTGGCTGCTTTGGGCAGTGGTGACAACAGGGACACTAACTTAGGGAGCAGAAGAGAGAAACTTGAACAAGATGACTTAGAAGTTCTTGGATCCTGCATAGATTGTTAACTTAGAGCCAGTAGCATTTGCTGATAGATTGGGTATGGAGTGTGAGGGAAAGTCAGGAATAACTCAAAGGTTTTGATCAGTTGGAGTAGCAGAATCACCAGTTCCTGAGCTAGAAAGACTGAGGCAGGAGCCCATTGGGCAGGTGGGGATTCAGCAGTTCTGAGGGAGAGGTGTTGGGTTTAAAGTTAGATGTCCAGGTGTGGGCCTATCGAATAGGCAGGTGGGTGGGTGAGTTGTGGATGACTTTTGGCACCCAACAATATCTATTTTAACAAAGCTTTTTAAATGAGAAATTTAGTTATAATTCATAAGCGGATTGATACGGATTTAAAACCATTGTGGTTCTCCAGGTAGTTTTTTTAATACCTTAATTTTAACTCTGTTACAGGAATTTAAGTTATATTTAATAAAAGAATTCTGTTATAAGAGTTAAGTTAATTGGGGTGCTTGGGTGGCTCAGTGGGTTAAGCATCTGACTCTTGATTTCGGCTCAGGTCAGGATCTCGGTCCTAGGATCGAGCCCTACCTCGGGCTCCGTGCTGGGCATGGAATCTGCTTAAGATTCTCTTTCTCTCTCTTTGCTCCTTCCCCCCACCTCATGTGTGCGTGTTCTTTCTCTCTTTCTCTCTCTCTCTCAAAAAGAAAAAAAAAAAGAAAAAAGTTAATTATGTTTGTTATAAGAATTTAAGAATTATTTTTCTTGAGGTTATTAATATATACCAAATGAGTAGTAACTGTTTTGTGCTCTATATTAGGAACTTTATGTCACCTTTTGAAAAAATGAAATAGTATTCAAGTAAAACAAGGGAGAAATTTATTTCAGAATTAGGAATTAGCTATTGGCCACAGTGAAACAAAGATGCATTCTTCCTTTTCTTGCTTTTCTTCACGTACTGTGTTTTAGAGACCATTTTGTATGCTTCTTTTCCACCCGCACCGTTTGTATATAGGTTTGATTTTGTGAGTGAATTCATCCTATTTGACTCAAAACTGCTTTTATTATTTTGTATTTATTTTAGAGAGAGAGAGAGTGAGAACATGCATGCGAGCTTGGTGGGAAGTGTGGGTGGGAGGGGGAAAGGGAGAGAGAATCTCAAGCAGACTTGCACTGAACATGGAGTCCGATGTCTGGCTCAATCTCATGACCTTGAGATCACTGCCTGAGCCGAAACCCAAGAGTCGGATGCGCAACTGACTGCCACCCAGGTGCCCCTGCTTATATTAATAGTAGTTAAAAATATGGACGCAAACCCAGAGACCCTTGGCTGGCTCTGCCAACTTAACTTTGAGACTTTGGACAAATTACTTGTCATTTATGGTTCTCCATTTCCTCACCTCTCCGAGGGGATAGTAAGTCTCTCACAGGAATATGGGGAGTTATAAGTGAGTTAATGCACGTAAAGCACTTGGAAAATGCCATAACACTGTCTAAGTGTTAACCAGAATGCAAGGTCCATGAGGGTGGGGATTTTGTCTCTTTTTGTATTCTCATTGCCTAGAATGGTGTCTTGTAAATGGTAGCTGTACAACAAATATTTGTTCATATCTATGTGAAAGCCTCACTCTTTCAGATACTGCTAAGCTTTTAATTTAAACTTGTCCTTTGCATTTGCACATAGCAACTTATTTTATGAAAGTGTTAATTTGGAGATACTGTTTTGGACTTGGTTGTGTATAGCTCTGGGATTTACAGGAGAAGAAAGTTTTAGATTTAGTGTTTGAGAAATGAGGTAGTGTGGTAAAATGTCCTTCACAATGTTTTTGAATCAGTGGCTTTACGATGTGGTAATGGGAAGGTAATAAGAGGAGCATATTGAAAATGAACTGAATTTCTTAAAAATTCACATTCAATATTTATATTTATTAACAAAGCAGACTTTTATTGCATCTCTACTGTGTACCAAGCACATGCTGGAGGTGGGGATATTAATTCCGTTGAGAAAACTCTTCTACATAGTTGGATAATAGTGGGTTTTTGAGCCAGACAGGCCTCAGTTTTGAATCTTGGCTTTACTCCCTTACGGCTGTATTTGTCAACAATTGCCATAATAATGCTCCATGATAAGCCACACTGAAACTTACTGGCTTAAAATAACAAGCATTGGTTTTTGTGGTGGCTGAGATTCTGCTGATTGGGCTTAGCTGAACTTGACCTAGGCCAGCTGCAGGTGGGTTTAGATCTTTGTGTTCTTGC